ATTTGAAAGATTTGGGAGTTTAGTAGACAAACCCTTGAAGAGGTGCCACTTGGATTTTTTTTTTGACATGACTCTCTTGCTTTGAAAATCTTTTCCAAAGATTATGGAAACCCAGGATTTCTGTGTAATTGATTATTTTTTTTTTTTTCATCCATACTTGGTAAAATTAGACCTTCTGGTAAGTGCTGCAGGTGTAGGCTGAAGGGGATGTCACATTTTTCAAAAAACAGGTACTATACTACAACAGTGCTGCCAGTGTTGGAGTGTCACGGTCTCCCTGCCACTTTCATTTGAAAATCAGGCAAGGTGTCACACCTCCTGTCTGTCACAGCACGGAGGGACCCATCCCTCATGCCACGAGTGCTGGCAGTGTTTGTGCTCACCCTCTTCAGGGAGCCTCTGTCATGTTCATCAAGTGACTGCTTCTCCTGTGTCTCACTTGCCTTTGTTGCTGCCAGTCCATCTCTCAAACTGCAAAATGCTCCACTTTCAATGTGTGATCTCTGGCTGTGGCTTTTGAGTGCTTCTGAAGGAGGAGGGGGAGAAAAATGCCAGAATGACCCTAAATTATCTGTATATTGTGGTTTTGTTACAAAACAGTACTCTTTCCTCCTTTGGGCACAACAGAGTTGTGATGAAGCTGATTGAAGCAGATGAAGTAAATGTGCATTACTTGGACTTTGCTCTCCTCTCACACATGATTTCATGATCATTCAGTGTGATGATGTGCAATCGATCCATTCCTGGGTCTTGCTATCTTTGCTGAGCTGCACGTGGCTGAAAAGGTAGCTGCACACTGAAAATACTGTCTGTATCTGATCTCATATCATTCCTTACAGAAAGCAAGGAATTTCTGTCTCCTTTCTGCCTTCCCTGGGCTGTCCCTGCCCTCATGCGGGTCCCCCACACCCTCAGTCCCTCACCGCAATTGCCCCCCTCACCGTGGAAGGCCCTGGAGTGCATCTTCTGTCCTGGCCAGTGGGGGATTTTTCGGTAAGAATATTTGGGAAGGGGTGTTGTGTGTGCTTGGAAGTTCTGATATGAGTTTCTGGGATGTACAGTCAGGTTTTGGGAGGCGGCAGGACTGTCGCGCTACCTGGCCTTTGGAGACGGCTGGAGCTGGCTGTGGCAGGCCCTGGGCCGCTCATGGCTGCCTGCGGGGCCACTGCACAGCAGCCTCACTGCAGCCACTGCCGTGCCTCCTCAGCCAGGGCTGGAACACGTACAAACCCACCCAGGGCTGCAGGGAATCACAATCCCTGCTGGCAGTGGGGTGAGGAGAAGGAGGACAAAATCCCACCCAGCACAGGGAGGCCTTGCTCTCATGCTGGAAGGGACACCTGTCTCTGCCGTCCTCTTTGGTGTGAGGTGACAGGATGTGGCCAGAGTCAAGACAAGCTTCAGTGCCTGAGGAGCTGGCTGAAAGCAAGGGAAACAGAGCTTAACAGCAGCCCAGCTGTTTAGCTGGGACAGCCTGGGAAAGCCCTGTCGCTGTGAGGGGAGCTTCCTGACTCACTGGGAAGGACTTGCTGCTCCTGTGCCAGCTCCTCAGCAACACTCCCACCAACCCAGGGTGGCTGCTGGGTGGCCAGAATGGCTGGTCAGGCTGTGTCCCAGCCTTTGGAAAATCTCCATGCTTTAGGAAGGTTAAAGTATTAAGTGGCATTTGGGAAAATCGCTTGAGGAAGGGCAAAGGTGGCAGCACCCGGTGGGTTGTTCTCTGTCTGGGAGCGTGGCCAAGCTCTCTTACTCACTGTAATATACTGTGTCCAAGTGCTGGCTCCTTATTAGACACTGCTTTAAAAAGTATTGCACTTGGAGACGTGGTGCTAAATTTTCTTTACCAGCTGAGGGCTGCTTCCCTACTTTCCCTAATTTTATATGGAGCTATTCTGACCTCCATCAGAGAAGATGTTGAATGCTTTCAGAAAAATATTTGTTCTGATGGAATTTATGATGTGATCTGTTATTCAAATTTATGGTTAGCTTGATGTGGCAGGTTAGGTAAAAAGGCTCTTGATGACACTGTGGCAATTATGAAAAGCCATATTTTTAGGCATGTTTGGACAGCTTACCAAAAAGTGTTTGGAAGCAGAATGTGAATATAATAAAATAAAGAATAGAGTTGGAAATATTGCCAGGTTAAAAAAAACCCACAAAGTCCAACACTTAAGCTGAAAAATAAGTTTATAGATAAACTGAAGGAGTGTCTTAATATTCCCCAGGCAGAGGAAAATACTCACTTTGAGGTCAAACTTGACAAGAAATAGTGTTAATTTTGGGGAAATTTTTGGTTTTGGGAATGAGTGTATTCAAATCACTCCAGCAGACAAGAAAGCAGAAGACGAGAGCTTGCTGGCAGGTTTCTTCCCCATATTTCTCTGCTTTCAGGAATCTTGCTTACCAGGAGAGCAGTTTGTCTGCTGGTTCCACCAGGTTGTACCACCCTGCTGAACACAGAGGCAGCTCGGTGCAGTGAGAGGCAGCCTTCTTCCCAGCTGCTTTTGATGGTGGTGTCAACAGGGTCTTCTGAGGAGAGCATGCCACATAAACCAGTTCTCCATCCAGCTGGGTCATCCCTTTACCTTTGACACCATCTAGGATGCTCCATGAACCCTCATGGAACACATGTTTGTGGAGTTGCTTGTTGTGTCTACAGCCATTGATCTCATGACTGAACTCTTCACACACCTGCTTATCTCACTTTTCTTCCTGTCTGGTCTCTACTGGCCTTATTTTGCAAGCTTTTACCATCCTGGGCAGGGTTTACTCATGCCACTGTTTCTGGGGATAAGAGTTGTGCTGCCTTTCCCTGTTTAGCATCGTACTATTTAAAAGAATGTATTCCCCATGTAAACTTTAGGGAGAAAGGAAAGCGACCTTTTAAATTTGGCAGACTGGTGGAGACTGAAGGAGATCTTTCTGCAGCTGATTTATCTGTCTCTGCCTGCTACTGAGTAGCTATAGCACATTTTGGTTATTGTTTTCCCTCCTGATTTCTGAGATCAAACATTTTCACACAGTCTATTTTTCTTTAACTGATTTTTCTTTTTGCCCTAGAGCACTTGGAACGAAAGGGGCCGTGAAAACTTTGTGGCAATTACCCTCCCATGAAAGGAAAACCCAAATTATAGCAGAGAGGGTCAAAAAACACTGCATTATAAGAACAGCCTGGAAGTTAGTTCTGTCTTCTCAGATTTTAAAAGCTACTGAGTATACCTGTGATTATAAGTGAGCTGTAGGTCAACAAAAATTGCTGTTAGTGCTTTCATTATAATCTCGATGGTTGGGAGTTTACTTAGCACAAACATTTGCTTTGTGGTGAAAGTATGGCATGTAAGCCTTTTGATCTGCAAGCAGTAAAGAAAAAAACCCACCAAATTTTTTGCTTTGTTTTCATTCCCTCCAAACACACTTTATAAACTGCGTTACAGCATGAGCGATCTGATGTTTGAGCTATAAAACATGGCAAGAATATAGATGACATTGGCCACTCCCCCTTTGCTTGGTTTGGGAGAAAAATCTTTTTAAAAGGCACGATAAGATCTCTTTTGAGTGTGCTCAGTAGCAGACTGCACTCCTCTGCAAAAAGATGAGAAGCCTGAAATATGGGTGATAGGCAGAGACACTCCCTCTGCAGCTGTGAGAGCTGCAAGATGGCAGAGAAAGGCTCAAAATACGGTGAGCAGGATGATTTTAACATTCTTGAGTTCACACAGGGCAAGGGACCAGTGAAAAGTCCTGAGGTATTTTTTTGGGGTTTTTTTTTGGTTTTTTTTTTGGTTTTTTTGTCCCCAGTTATAAAGGCTCCTCTTCTCCCTCAGAAAAGGAAAGCATCCCACTTGTTGCTTCTCTGAGCTTTTCCAAAGAAATCAGCAATGCAGTGGTGAACAGCTGGGCTCCTTCTTGGCACTTCACAGACAGGGGGGTGAGAAAAAAGATTTCCAGATACTTAAGCAGGAGTTGCAGCTGCTGCTATGGCAGAAATTTTCCTGTGAACAAACAGGTAAGGATTTTTGTAGTGCCTGGGCAGGCTGAAGCTTCACAACGAGCACAGAAACGAGCATGATGGGCAGCAGAGTCACTGCCAGCCAAACTCCGTCCCTGCCTGGTACCTGGAAAGGCCAGTCAGTGTCAGTTCACACGGAGTGGAAGCTGCGGCTACCCAGACGGTGTCGAATGACAGCCAGTTTCTTTAGAAAACCTGTCTGTGGGTTTTCCTAATCTGCTGAAGCACAATGAAGCACAACACGTTTCACTTTTGGGCTGTTTATCACGCCTGCTGAGCTGCGGTACAAGCAGTAAGTAACCCTGTATTTGCAGGTGATACGATGATACAAAAGGAGGGAGTCTTCACATCATTTAGGCCTTCCTGAAGGGTGCTTTTTTTTCCTGTCCTTGGAAGGATGAACTACAGAGTTGATTGTGATCTTCCCATTCCATTACTCTGCCAGAGGACCTGCTGTTTGAGACTTTTCTTGTTTCTCTGCTCTCTCTCTTCTACATCAGCTTTCCAGATTTTTGGTCTTACATATTTGCTCCAGGTTTCCATTCTGGAAATGTTTACATACAGTTTATACAAGGATTAGAATTTAACCTTATGCATTTTCCTAGGGATGCAGAAAACTCATCCTAATGCAGAACCTTACCTTAATCCATATGCTACATATTACTGAAGAAGAGGTTTTTTTTCCATCTAAAATTTAAGGAGAGCAAAAAAATTCATCTTTCTCTTCTTTCAATAGGCTCCAGGCTTATTAAAGGCTGACTTTTTTTTCCTAGAATGATGTTTCCACACAGAAAATGCTGCTTTCCCAGCTAAAATTTTGCATTATTACAGGCAACCAAAAATATTAGTCTCACAACAGGCGGTATGAGGAAAACACAGAATAGCAATCAACAGCACCATTTCCATAACTGCTATCACCTGTTAACTCCAGTCAGGTGTTGGCACTTTAAATATCAGCTCTGGGAGGATTATTTTTGCTGGGGTTGAAGGCCTCTTTGTCTTGGGGAGCTGAAGATTTAGAGAATCTTTGCTCCATCCCAAGAATTCATTGTGGAGGGAATGTTGGTTTCAGCAATTCCATCCACTTTCCTTCTATGCCACCTGTCTCTTCCTTTCCTATCCTAAAGCTTAGTGTAAGTGTGTGTGTATATATATATTTATCAGAAAAATCTGATACTTCTGGATCTTTTGATGGATTTGATGTTTGCTGAAGATTTTTTTTCCCTTCCACTGAGGTAATGTTTAGTTACTCAGACTTCTAAATAATTCCTGTTAATGAATTATCATTATCATGGGTTTGGGTTCATATCCAGGAAAAGTCCTTAAAGCTAGGTAGCTCAGGTCAAGAAGGCATGCTGTGAATACCTCAAATCCACAGAGCTGATGTCTTAGCCTAAATTCTCTGTTTCTTGGGTGGCTTTATTGTGTGGGTGGTAAGTTAGTTTATGTCTTCTAGAAACTGCATGGTACAAACTGGAGGGAACCATCCTCTCCTTGCTGGTGGAATGCTAACTGATTTTTGACTGCCTAATATAACAGAATAGGAGCTAGGAAGTGTACACATGCTTAAGGAGTGGACTATGATGACCTATGGTAAAGAGGATTTTTACTGTGGTTGATAAAAACCTGTGGACTCGTCTTACTAGCCAATACTTCATCTAAGCATGAATCTTCTGCTTTTCTGTAGTCTCACACTTTCCTTTGGTCCTACACTTGGCAATTACTCTGTGTAGAGGTTCCCCTGTATAAAGTCATAATATCCTTCCTTGTTTGAGCTATCCTTTGCTTAGCTCTTTACCCAGCATGAGGTTTTCAAGGGAAGGTGGGGACTTGGAATGTTTGCATGTCTGTTTCTGCTCATTGTTACAACTCATTGGTCTTGTGGTTTGTTTTTTTTTTTTCATCCTATGAAAAGAAGGCAAATTAAGTCTCTTTTTCTTTCCTCCTCCTTTCTGGTTTTACTATCAATTTCTTTGATACTGTACTGAGTGTGTTCAGCTTGCTACATTTTGGACTTAGTAGTGTTAGCATAGTGAATATATGTAAATGTATACACAAGAGACTTGTGCCCTAGTTTTATAAGCAAGTAACAGAAAAAATTAGCTAGCTTTATCTTTCTTATTTTATTACCATCTTGAATATGTCAAACTCTTCACTGTTCCCTTATTAAAGGTTAGACAGTTTTAGCAGTAGCATAAGAGATGCTGTTTACTGACAAAGTAAAGCTGAGTTTTAATGTGTTAGGGAACTTTGAAATTAGCAGGTTAGTATTTAAAAGATTATTAGCAAACCTTGGATTTCTACATTATTGAACTGTCATATTATACAAAGGCTTTTGTTTCAATTATGTAAAAAAAAAATTCTTTTTGAGATTAAAGCATGTCTGTGTGTTTTTGCTGAATGAAAGAAACTGGTTGTGCTAATTCAACACACACTGTTTGAAAAGAATTTTTTTTGTGTGTAGGTTGGAATACCAAGTGAGTATCAGGAGACTGCTGCATCTCTGAGGGTTTGTTAAATGTACTTGTGATGTACAAAAATGACGTACCCGTCAGTTTTGTAAAAAGTCTGACCTGAGGGGAAGGAGGGAGATGTAATAAGAGTAGGTTTAGAAGTGTCAAAATTAGTGCTCAGGTGCTTAATTTCTGATATATCTGGTACAATCTGTAGATATGCTAAATGTTTGGCATTCTTATTAGTGTCAATGAAATAAAGATACAGTGGAGTGGAAGGGTTATAAAACTTACTCCTCCTGATCGTCTAATTATGATAAGAATGCTACTTTTAATATATCCTAGCTGATCATTACAGGGGAAAGTGTTGAAGTAAGAGTCTAATGTTTTCTCCTATCTGTAAAATAGAGATACCTCATGTTTTTGGTAGTCTGCAGCTGTGAACCCAGTAACTGGTGAAGAACACAACAAATGATTTAACTGTAATTAGAACACTGTTCTTTTTTCTTGTCTTCTTCACCCCTCCTCCCCAGCACACACTTACCTTTTGTCCTTGTCCATAGGACTGCTATTAGGAAGAATAAATGGGATTTTGGGTGTCTGTTAATGTTTATGACCTGGCAGCATACCGATTTCTCTATCGTTGTTTGAAATCTTAGATGGTTTCTGCTGCACCAAGGCTATTTTAAGACTGAGATGCTTTGGTTCATGTGCAAATGGAAGCTGTCAACTGTTCAGCAGAACCAGGATACTTTCAGCTCCCCAGCTGAAGGCTGCCATATACTTTCAGCATGTCCTTGTCTGTCTGAAAAAGTTCACAGCTGGTTAGCTGAATGACGTGGAGGGCCTTTTTTCTTTCGTTATGCAGCTGGTGCTAACTAGTGACTCAGTAGTGGAAGAGATTAAGAATTATGGGATTCAAGAAGGAACAAAATGTTTATTTAAGCCCCCCAAAATGCCAGATTTGGACGTTTCTGTAAACTGCAATTCAAAACCAGAGGAAGAACTCCTGTTTCCTTTTCTGAATTGAAATTCTCCTTTGGTATAGAATTAAAAGAATGAAAGTGGAGTGGCCCCTTTCTCAATCTTCATAGTGTTTAAATATTTGATTTGACACTGTTCTAGAGATAGTTTTCTTTGTTTAGAAATTGTTCTAAATTACTAATGTACTCCTCCTGAAAGGCAAGCTTTTTTTTTTTTTTTTTCCTTTTTCAGACAAGCCTGAAAGGCTCAAAGAGGAATCCAAAGGTTGTCAGTTGCTTGTGAAATGTCTTTAATTTTCTTTTTGAGGTGGGTGTCCCAAGTAACATACCGATGGATATTGTATTCCTGATGAGTATTTTCTGTCATTTTACAAGTTTGTTTTAAAATTAAGCATCTGTTAGAAAGCAGTGGTAGTTAAGGACTTAGTTTCTTGGCCAGGACCAAGTTTAGTTTCCTTTTGTTATTAGTTCAGTGTCATCACAGAAAATAGACTAATGTTATTTTGAGTTTCTTTTTTTTTTTCTAGACATGTTGGGCTGAATAGCTCAACATAACAAATTATATTATATGTGCTTTAGTTTCAAATTTTTCTTGTAGAATCCAAGTTTTAGCATAAGGATTCAATTAAATGATAGTTTGATTTGACTGAAAAATTAATGGTCCGGAACTGAAACCTCATAGTATTTTTTAAAGTTCTTATTTTCAGTACTCCTGTTTTGAATAAAAGTCTGGACTCAGCCCAGTAACATTAAGTTACATGTTCTCTCATCAGCTAAACATACATAATGATTAAATTTAATAGTGATTGTTTTCTCATTGCTTCTTTTGGCTGCATAGGTATCTTTCTGCATTCATAAAATTAATTCCCTGGCCATAAGTGGCACTATACTGACTTGCTGTGAAAAGTTCCTTGCTACTGTCTGTTTTCATTTTCAGGAAATAATAATTTGCAAAGTACAAATCATATTCAATAATTATATGTCATCTTCAATGACAGCTTGAACATTCAACTCCTGTTTACGCTTGAATTGGACATATTGATTTTTCATTTTAATGATAAACAGATTGGCATGTAATATGTTTGACAATACATCTGCTTAAAATGTGTTAAGATTGCTGAATGAAAAGGAAGGGTTTGCAGTGCAGGCTAGTGGAGGTACTCAAGCCAAAAGTAAAATGAGGATGCATGCTACTCTAGGTAATTCCCAACAAAAAAGTGCAGTCCATTTAATCTGGTATCATAGCAGGCATATTTATAATTGACTTTTCTGGTTTGCTTTTAGTCTGTCCTCTGGCCAGGAGAGATTCTTCAGCCAAGAATAGTGGGAGTATTTAAAAAAAAAATAATTGTGGCTTTACTTGAAAAATTTGATTTTTCTCATAGAGTATACTACAAATAAAAATGGAATTTGGCCTAACTTCAGCATTTAAGCTCATTACCTCTGCATTCACTCCTAAATAGTTTCATCTTTGGTGTTCTATACATCTGTGTATATGTATCTTAACTTGTTAGGAGAGTATGTACTGACTATATTAAAACCACCCTCTACTAGACTGTTGCTTTTGGATAAAGATGAAAGTTGCAGGAATACTCCAATTTTGCTGATTGTAATGGTTTACTTAACCCCCTCAAGTTTCTTTACAACTTAAACAGATACCTTAAATTTGAGTTCTTCAAATTTTTCTGTGGACTTGCATGTAAAACTCATCTCTTGACTTCATTATATGCTATGTGATAGCCAGTTATCAAGTTTTAGTTTTAGTAGATACTGTGATGTAAATACTTGTTTCCAAGTACAGTATTCCTATCAAACACCAGGTACAACATAAAAACATAGAAATATATATATATATATATGCACACTATGTGTACATTTAAAAGCAAGTGATTGGTGAATATTTGAAATGCTGTGGATAGAGCAGATTTACCTGGAAAACAACTGACATCTTTTGACAAAAACACCACAGAAACTGGAATGGTGGAATTGGTTGTGAATGCAGCAGAGTCTCAAGTGAAAATATGCTGAAAGAATGTCTATGTATTTTTAATAAAAACCATATTGTTTGTAGTTTGCAAGGCATGGAATTGAGAGCTTTGGATGATCTTGATATTTGGACTTCTGTGCTTCCTGTTACAGAACATCTTGAGGCTCCTCTTGATCAGTGAGGCCATCACATCTTCTGTTCTGGGCAACTTTGTCCATAGTGTTTTTTAAGTCTATTTCTTTCTTCAGACTTTCATAAGTTTCAAAGAAACTTGAAGGCAGGTGCTTCATAGTCCTGTACCACAGAAGAGAGTATCTTTTATTTTTAAATGAAGCACGAACTATTTTAGAGAAATAGCAGTTATTTTGTTGCTCAGAGTGGAGTGAACCTGAATAATTTGTCTTTACACAGCCATTCCTAGGCTGTCTTTGGAGGGCTGTGTGCTTGTGTTTGGGCTTGGTTTTTAACATGAAGGTAATGCGATGGTTCCTCTAAGGGTACGATATTTCTGTGGTTAGTTTGTTACTGGTGCTTATTCTATTTGGACACCATGCTCTTTACTTAGTGACTTGCTAATACTTTCTTGTACTTCCATGTTTTCTTTGATAACACTTGTATTTTGAGGATGCTGCTTTTAGAAGTACTGCTGTATTTAATCACACAAAGGATAAATCTGTATTCAGGTTGTGCTGTCTTTGAGCATGGACTGTCTTGACTTTACTTGCATTTATGGAGATTCATGAAATATGAGACTCTATAGATTCAGTATGTTCCTGTGTTTTATTCAGTTGCTACAGTGTAGAAGTGAAGTA